CAGACGACGACAACGACGACGGCGACGGCAACGTTTGCTGAGCCAGAGCCAGAGCCAGAGCCAGTGCTTTGAAAGCGGACAGCAAAAAGGATTGAACGAAGAGAGTGTGAGCGAGAGGCAGTGAGAGTGAGGCAGAGGCGGGTGCAGTCAAAACAGCAGGAGGCAATGGCGACGCACGTGAAGACGCAGCAAAGTATACGCACAAGCACACGCACACACACACACATACACACACACGCAAACGAATGAAACAAGAACAAGTGCATTGACACTTTATAGCGATGACGACGCGACGCGACGCCTGCAAAGGGTGAAGCACCAGTGCGACGACGCTGGCAGCGCTGCATTTTGATAGCAGCGCGCTGTAAATATGCAAAAGAAGAAACAAGAACAGAACGAGATGTGAGAAGGGATCGGAGCACACACACAGCTGATCAGCCAGGGCGAGCGACAGAGACAGAGACAGAGGCAAACACAGGGAGAGCATGGGCAAAGGGTGTGAGGGAGATGCAAAAGGGAGAGGGCATGCCCAAAAACTGGCGATCGTTGCACTGTGTTCAGCAACAACATCAACAACAACAACAACAGCAAGAGTTTTTGTTTTTGTTTGCGAAGCTTTGGGCTGGAGCCGGTAGCTGATTATGAGATTGCAAAACGAGTCGCTCATTATGAGCTGGTTCATAATGTTTGTTTGCCCCACGATGACGTTGCCAAACAGCGAAAGCGCCCAGCAAAAAAAAAAAAAAAAGTCAAGAATGAAATGCGAACAGCAACAACAACAACAAAGATCACTGACGACGAGACGACGATCAACGACGACGTTTATAGTTCAACGCTCCGTCTGGGCGTGCTCCCTGCTGGCATCGTTAGCCATTGGCCAGTGCCCCAGAGGCGCTGCGCTTGTCTTTGGGGGTCTCCTTGCAGAGGAAGAAATCACTCAGTCGCCGCCGCCGCTGCTGCTGCAGTTTGCTGCTGCTGTTTGCTGCTGCTGCAATTCTTCCATTGTCGGTCATTGATCGTGCGTGCTCATAATGAAGCCAACGACTCTCGTTGACTCTTCCATTAACTACACGACCTGATCATGTTGTGATCTTATTATGGTGACAGACAGAGAACTCAATAGAATGAGAGAGATAGAGAAAGGGAGAGAAGCATACGCAATCATAAATCATAAAGATCTCTAGCTGCTGGCTCTGCTGGTTCATAAATATTAACTTAGCCGAAGGCATTAATCAGAATTTGATGTATTACTCAGAGAATTTAGTGATCATTTTATGGTGACACAATGATTAGGAATGGAAGATCAGGGGAGTGAGAGAGATAATCATTAATATTACCTTTAAAAAACAAAAACAACTTTCTATAATGAACTCAGCTTCTTATTCATCGATCTAGGCTAAGCTCTCGCCTTGGGCATTTTATGATATTCAACAAATTAGTTGATGATCTGAAAACTAAAGAAGAGGACTTTAGCATTCAGCTCAAGCAATAAAAAGCCTGAGGAGTGATGCCTTAACTAGTCTGGTCTGACAACTATTCTTGGCCAGTACTCTGATAACTATGCTGATCCCGAAACTCAACGGTTTATAAAACGCTGTCGTGCAATTGTAATAAAACTGCGCTTGATCGCCGCTAAATGATCAATTGCGAGTGCTTGGATTGGCTACTCGTGTTGATCTAATGACCGATCGCAACTGAGATAAACCAGACTGATCTCAGCCATTTAATCTCGAAGCACAGCCATCACAGCTGATCGTAAACGGTTCTCGTGAATCTGTAATAAAAACTGCGCTAGATCGCTGATCGATCATAGGAGCTACTCGTCTTTTCGCCTTGTTGTGATCTGTGCAGTCAGCGAGCTACACCCACGCTCTGGCAAGCGATCGGGCAGCTACTGCCTCGGCGAGATCATTGATCTTACCTACTTGGCGCTGCTAATTTGTATTATTAATTCAATCAATCACAGCCCGAACGCACCCTAACAACGATCCAATCGCCGCATGGATCGACAGCAGCTGCCAGCGAGCATTGATCTCGCATACATACATATACCTATGCCTATACCTATATCTATATGTATGTATATATATATCGTCTCGTCTCGGTTATACTCTCGAACGATTGGCATTTCACAAATGCGGCGCGTTCTAGTTTCTCGCTGTCGATGCGAATTCTTGTTGATTCTTGGTTGATTCGCATTTCGTCTTGGCTAATTTAATTGTTTGCCTTTTCATTAAAGCGGGATGTGGGCCCATGGCAACATTTATAGAACAAGCACCAGTCTCCTCTCTCTCTCTCTCTCTCTCTCTCTATCTCTCTCACACACACACCTCTTGGTCAGCATTTAATTCGCTAATTGCCAATGCGCCCAGCGCTTATCAAATTGGAGCATCGCTTCGCTATTTGTTTTTTCTTTTTCTTTTTTTCGTTTTTTTTTTTTTTTTTTTTTTTTGGCTACCGTCTGATGTCTTAGAACTGGCGTTGTTTGTTTTAATTTAGCTACACATTTTAGTTCAAATATTTGATAAGCAGACGGGGCGAGGTGAGGCCAGGCAAGGTGAGGTGAGGCGCATCGAATCTGCTATTTGCGTAACTCTCGGCATTACTCATGCGCCCCGTTAGCCGCGCTTCCGCTCAGCCAAAATGCTTTTCTAATTATTTGCAATACAGTTTCAGCGATATATCTTTATATCTAATCAACATTCATGGCTAATTTATTTGACGTTTCTCGTTTTTTGTTTTTGGCTAAAATTTAATTCGAATGCGAGCTTAAAATATAAAACCGAGTTCAATAAACGCTTAATGAGGCTTTGTGTAGGCGGTGCTAAAAAAAAACATTTAAAATTTTTACTTTTTTATTGAACTTTGCACTGAGCAAGGTTTTTCGGAAATTTTTTATAGATAAGCGGTTAAGCCTTATCTGTATTAGATAATAATTGAGAATCCGAAAATAATATAGATAAAATACATTAATTTTCTGGCTATTCCTGGCAATAACTCTAGAGAATATCTACATGGAGGGTAGATGAAGGGATGGACGGACAGAGGGAAAGAAAGACGGACAGTTATGTAGACAAACTGACAGCCTCTCTCTCTCTCTGTTCACTCAAAATCGATTCGATTTGCAAACTTTAAAGTAGAATTTCGATACACTTGGTAGTTCCTGCCCGATTTCCAGGTAGAGCTCGCTAACTGTTGTTCAGTTAAACGTCCCTTAGACAAGCTCAAAACATATCGAATGGCAACAGTATGTAAGCTGCCCTCAATGCTTGTATCTATGGAACATTCCTGCTTGCAGCGCCAAAGTGGGGCACACACAGTCTCTAATGTGGCAAAGAGGCCAGCAGAGTGGGGCAGGAGGCGGGAGCGGGGGACAGATACGGAGACAGAGACAACTTGACACCCGCTGCTGTTGCAGTTGCTTGATGGCAACACGCCTCCGCATTGGAGCCAAAGTGAATGCAACTTTTAAACACCTCCCCAGGGAGCTGGCAGCAGCGCAGAGGCAGAGACAGACGCAGAGGCGGGGCTGAGGCGGGGGCAGGCAGGAGGCGAGCGCTCGAACGTCAGCCAACTGTATTTTTTATCTAATTAGGTAGTCAAAATATACACACAAAAAAAGAGACAGCTTAATGCTTAGGCTAGCGAGCGTGTGTGTGTGTGAGTGTGTGTGTGAGTGTGTGTGTGTGTGTGTGTAATCTAAACTGTGTCACTAAACAAAAAAATAAAATCCGAGCGCGGCAGAGAGAAGGGAAGAGGCAGACAGCAGCCGCTGCTCAGCCCAGAAAATTGTGTCAAACAGATAAAAACTTTGAATGGAGATGAGACGGAAGCGAGGCGTAGCAGCCAGTGGGACGAGCCACGCCCTCATTTTGATGGGCGGGTAGGCGGGAGGGGGGCAGGCAGTTATGATTATAACCTCAATTCTAGGAGAAAACTGGCCCGAAAATTGTAGAGCATTTGAATAATTTTTAACAAGAATGCAATAAAGCAACACAAAAAGAAGTAAATGAAACGAGTGAAACAAAGACAGAGAGAGAGGGAGAGGGAGAGAGTAAAGCGGCTAAAAGCCAGTGTACAAAGTAGGCGGCGTTGATTTAAATGGCACCCAAAAAGTCAGCAACGAAACGAGAGGGCAAACAGACAGCAAGACAGCGAAAGAGGGAGAAAGAGATGGAGAGCGAGGAGCGGGACAGAGGCAGAGACAGAGAGGAGATGGACAACTATTCAAATTGAGGTCATTCATCCCGCTTCGTTGAACGCGCTTAAGTGAATTATATATGTGTGTGCCTCTCTGTGTGTGTGTGTGTGTAAGTGTGTGTGTGTGTGTATCTGAAAGATACATAGATAGACATATGAAGAGGCATAGGTTACCCGTGCAATAGTTATGTGATGTGTCGCCAACTTGTGAATGGGGCATTAGAGTGGGGACATCTATTTATCCGTCTGTCCGTCTGTCCGTCTGTCCGTCTGTCCATCCGTCCGTCCATCTGTCCCTTTGTCAATCAGTTCAGCTTTTCTATAGAAAACGCCACTCAACCCATATCTATATTGGGAGAAAGCCTTTCTCCATGGCAGCTAAGCGGCTTAGCTTTTTTTTCGATTCTTTTGGGGATTTGCATGCCAGCAGCGAGGCATGAAAACATAATGAAAACACGTTAATTGCTGACAATTTGTGCGTTTATCTAAGCATTCAAATTTGATTGACTAACTGATTGGCTGATTGGCTGAGTGACTGAATGACTGACTGACTGATTAATCGAGTTTGGAACAACTGAAGAAAGATCGTACAACGCCCCCAAAGTCAAACTTTGATATCATCATCGTAATCATAATCATCATCGCCATCATCGCCATCATCATCAGCATCATCATCATCATCACACATTGCACGCACTTTGTATATATATATATAAAACTGTTCGATTTATATTCAATTTTAGACTTCTCTCTCACTCTCTCGCTCTCTCTTTCCCTCTCTCTCTCTCTCGCTATGCTCTGCCTCTAACTCTTTTGGCTCGTCGTTTCATTTGCTTTTCATATGGGAGTAGGTCAGTTCAAAATTTGCATATGCCTTGACTGATTTTCGTTTTTGATTTCTTGCTGATTTTTTATTCATATTCGTTTCGTTTCGCGTCCCGCTTTGCCTTTTGCTGCCACGCCCAGTTGCATTTATTGCCTGATTTGGGCAACCTCTGCCTCTACCCCCACCCCGCGCGTGCCATGCGACGCAACTAAGGCGATTACCTTTCAGACCCGACGGCAATTTGTTTTGGCTTTTGTTGCCAAATTTTTGCATATTTCTTTCTTTATCTTTTTGGCCCGAGTGCGTGGGACTCACCTTTTGACACTCGCAATACGTTTATGCAAAGAGATCGCCTTCACATTTGTTGAAAGCGAATCAGTGTTTTAGCGTATTCAATTCTTAAAGCTGATGAAAGTAGAGCTCAGAGCCAATCAAAATTTCAAGCAATCAATAATAGACGAAGCCTAATCAGATATTGGCTTATTAAAGGGGATCCTATGACATAAAGAGACAGCAAATGAATGGCTTAATAAATGTGTTGTGCTTAAAGATATATAAAAGAGTAGAGGGAGACAGAGAGAGTGACGGGTATTACCTGATATCGTATAAAGAAGACTAATCTGTATATAATCTCCTATTCCTGTCATTCAGTTAGAAAACTTTGAAGAATATTTCAATTTAATCATATTTATATATACATATATCAACTATTGATCTCAATTACTGATAAGTATCTATCGATCTATCGACCAACTTATCGATTCTTGAACTTCCCCTAAGCAAGTCAGCTCTTCTATCTCCCTCCACGAACTCGGCTATACAAATACTCGATGAGCACTATCACTTTAAACTATTTGAATCGGAGTCTTAGCAGGTCAAGAGTTGAGTCAACAAGTCCTATCATCTATCTATCTATCTATCTATCTATCTATCTAATCTATGAGTTCAGCTATAGCTAAACTCCTATAAAATGTCTCAGGCAGTGCGCGATCCGTTAACAGTTAAGATTCTTTCGTGTGCTGAAAATGCAGCCAGGTAAAGTGTTCGAGTCTCACCTAAGTTCCCACTGAAAGAGTTTTTCCTTTCAAAGTTCTTCAGTTGTGCCTCCTGCTGCTGCTGCTCCTGCTGGGCTCTGGCCAGGCTCTTGGCGAGCTCGGCTGCACCTCGGATGGCTTTTGCTTTTGCACTGGCCATCAGGAGGGTGACCTGGTGCCGGATTGCACAGACTGCAGAGCCTACTACAGGTGCGGCGCCGATAACATCAAGCACGAGCTCTGCCCACCTGCGCTCATCTTCGATATCCAGCAGCTCGCCTGTGTGCCTGGCAAGTGTCCACGCTCGGACGGCGAGTGCGCCATTCCCAATGTGACTACTACACCTACGCCTACGCCTACGCTTACACCTACACCTACACTTCCTCAGCCTGCACCACCTAACAACTGCCTGCAGCAGGAGGTGGAGTGCAGCTTCCATGGCCAAATTCTTCCACATGCCGAGCATTGTCGCTTCTTCTGGACCTGCGTGGAGGATTGCCCAGTGTTGGGATTCTGTGAGCTGGGCAAATGGTTCGACCGCCAGAAATTCGTCTGTGACTTTCCCAATAATGTCCAAAACTGTCCCGTGGGCAGGGACTGAAACTGCAATAGGCAACAACAATAGCAACAGCTGAGACAACAATAACAATAACAAACAACAGCAACAACAGCAAAAGCAACAGCAACAGCAGCAACAACGACAGCAACAATCGCAGCAGCAACTACATTGACATGAACAACTTTAACAGCAACAGCAACAACAACAACATTGCGTTAATATACGCAAATTGCTTGACACAATTTTTATTTGCCAGTGGGCGTTATGCGTTGGGGTGGTGGGCGTGGCTGCTGCTCTTTGTGGCTATTTTTTTATTTTTATTTTTTTTTTTCATTTATATTTTTTATTTGTCTGCTACTATTGCTACTTACTGTTGGTGTTGTCGCTGCTGTTCTTGCTGCAAATTTAGCATGCAACCAACAACAACAACAACAATACATATATGGACACACCTTGAGGCAAAAGAAAAGAGAAATGATACAGAAATTATGAAATTTGAAATACCCTAACTTTTCAGCAAATACAGCAGAAGAAAGCTTAAATAGAACTTTACACTGCAAATATGCAAAATGCCAACAAAAAATTTGTTTATTTTTATATACAAATATACAGAATATAGCCTATATTTGTATAGATTATCAGCAAACTTTTCTTGTATACTTTCATATGAATATATAATTAAGATTTTATACCGAAATATATATGCTTGCATCACAATTTTGATTTGTATAATTAAAACGTTTCATGCAAGAGATTTTTAGCTCATAATAGTTTCACTTCAGCTATCAATACAAAGCTCAAAAATCTGCTAGAAATGAACTAGATTTCAGTTAGAGGCACCAACTGTGTGAGCTACCTTAAGCTGTTCGCAGCAACATGCATAGAGAAGAGCAGCAGCAGCAGCAGCAGCAGCAACAACAGCTACAGCAACAACAATAATAAAATATAACAAACTTTCACCCAAGCCGCAGCATTTTGGACAATTTCGTAACTGGGTAAACAGACACACATACACACTCACACACACACACACCTATAAATGTGCTTGCAAATGTGGAGTGCATAAAGTGCAGCACGGCGACAGCAGCGACAGGTGAATGAACGACCTCAAACGAGGTCAGCAACAACTGCGGGCCAAATTATGCCGGCGGATTGTAGAGTGGGGCAGCGGGCGACGAGTCGACGGGCGCTGATGTGGGGCGAGGGCGCGGAAACGTTGGGGCTGGAGCCCATTCATGCGCACAATAAACCCAAAAAAAAAAGTAGAGGAAAAATCAACTATATGCAGTATGATTATGTGAATGCGACGTTTCTGTTGTTGTTGTTGTTGTTGAGCAGTTGATGGCTGCTTGGCTGGCAGTTGGCTTCGGTTACAGCTCGAGCTTCGCATGCTAATAGCCGTAGAGTGAACAGCCGGTCAACAGCAGCAGCAGCAGCAACCGATGCAAGGCAGAGGCAGAGACTGCACCGACAGCGGCCCCACATTTGGATGACCCAAATCCTGAGCAGGCAAATGGATGGCCAAATGGAGGAGGCTGTGAAACAAGTTTTGCCTACACACAGCTGCCTCTGCCTGCCTCCCTCCCTCTCTTACTCTCACCCTTCTCTTTCTCTCACGCTCTGTTGGGTCATTTGGCTGCTCTAAATCACTTAAGATGCTTTTAGCAGGAAAAGAAGTTTAGGCTTAGTCTCATTTATGTGACTCCACTTTGGCCTCGCTGACTGCTCCATCTCTCTCTCTCTCTCTCTCTCTCTCTCTCTCTCTCTCACTCGGTGCATAATGGATGATGTTGACCTGCACAGTTGTCGAGCTGCCAGCGAGTGGGCGCTTGAAGAGGCCTCAGTGTGGCTGGCCAAGTGGGTGGCTGGTGGCAGGTGGCAAGTGGCAGGCAACATAACAACAGCAACAACAGTAAAAATGTGGAGCAGCCTGTCTACGTTGGCCACGATTCAATGGGCAATTCTGTAGATTATCGCTGCGCCAAATACAACAACAAATTATTTACCTGAGCTCTATTTGAGTGCGGCACTACGTTTAGTTACAATTTTATGATTTAGGTTGTTTAGGTAAACTCGATTTAAATTTAAATTTTACATTAAATGGGTATAAAAGAAGCGAAATATTTTCTTTGAATTGCTATATTACTTTGCAATAAATATTTTATATATTTACATAAGGAAATAGACCCAGATTTATACTTAAAATTTGTATACAATTTGGTATAAAATATTTTTAATTTTATGCTGGCATATTTAATGATAGTAAAATTGAGTTGTGGCCAATTAATAGTATTCCTTAAATATTTTAATTATATATTTTTTAAATTTTATTATCAAAAATTCTATTTTACTTCAACATTAAACAAAAAGATTTGATTTCGAATTTCTCTGAAATTTGTTTACCTGCTTAAACTTAACCCGAATCTTCTGCACGAGTTCAATTGCCCATTTAGTCAAGTTTATTTGCAAATTAATTATAAATATGCTGTGATACTTAGCTGCTGCACACTTCAGTCCATTCAGCTGTTCCACTTATTGGCGGGTATAAAGTGGCTCCGCATACCCTTGAGATAGAGTCAATAAGAAGATATACACAAAATATCTGCACAATGGCAACAATAACAGCAACACTCGACGAGCGCTGGGCAAACAAATCGTGCGGCGGCCAAAATGAGCTGCTAATTGAAGACACCTTAGAAATCATCGAAAATAAACAGAGCATAGCTGAGCAGAGCGGGGAAGAGTAGGGCAGAGCAGAGCAGAGTAGGGCAGCGCCCGCCACTGGCAATTAGCAGAGTTGAAGGTGGGCCTCCACAATGTGCAGCTGGCTGCGTGTTGCTATTATGTCATAATTAATTTACGAGCTGTGACAATTAACGAGATGAGCGGCCGATGCATCGTGACAAGGCCAGTCGCAGAGCCAAACAGGCAGCAGATGTGGGTCAATGTGTTGGCCAATTTGGAGCGTACGATCGAGCTTTTCCACACGTTCACAACTTTTCCGGGCGCACGCTGCGTATGCGCAATTTTCGATCAGCTCAGCTTGAGCAAGCTCTTTGGCCCACTCAGCGCTCTGACCAATTTGCACAACTCGCACGCCATTTCGTCATAAGTGCACACACATAAATACGACTATCTACAAGATACAAAAGTATCTCGTGGACTGTCTGCGGCTGTTGCTGTTGATGTTGATGTTGATGTTGCTGTTGCTGAAACTGACGCCGCTGGCTTTTGCTGCGAATACCACGAACGCAGCCACAAGACAAAGCGAAAAGCAACAACAAAAATCAGTTGCCGACAGTTTTTTTATAAATATATATATTGAGCACAGTGGGTCAATGTCCCACTGATAAAGTGAACGCCAGTTGCTGCTGCGGCTGCTGCTCCAGTTGCTGCTGGTGGCAGCTGCGACGACGCTTGCCAAAAGGCAAATGCGATTTTAATTAATAAAATATGCTGTGTATCTCTGGTTGCACAAAAGAAATTTCACGTTTTATATATTTTTTGCAATTTGTTTCGTTCGCTGTGCTGAAAACTGAGCTAATGAACATTTTCATATTAAGATATTTCACTTGCAGCAACAATAATTTTATTTTGCTCGCTGCCAAATTATATTTGTAGTACATATTTTCTAGTTGAGATGGCACAAGAATTTCGTAGCCCATTTGCTACAGTCGACGCGTGTGTGTGCGTGTGTGTGTCTCTGCCTAAGATTTATGCGTGTGCCAGATTTTATTGTGTGACATTTCTGGCTAAGATTTAAATTTAAATTGCTTTTAGAAACTAATAAATAGGTTGATATGTTTTCTGACGCAAAACAACCAACTCGGCTGCCATGCTTGCCGAATAACAAATTACACAAATATTTGTTTATCAACTAATTATGCTTGTGGGTGGAAAAGTTTTATAAATAAAGTGATTGCATTTAATATACGCGCTTAAAAGTATGCTTCAATTTTATAACACGGCATATGAGGGCTGCTATTCGCGTGTGCAAAATTTAATGCTGCGTACTTTTGCGCGTATGCGAATTACATTTGTGCTGCATACTTTGCGGCTGCTTTGATTAATATTCCATTTGAATTGCAAACGTAACCGACAACTCCCTCTCTCTCTCTCTCTCTCTCTCTTTCATTCTTGCAGCTGTGCGTTATGGTCGCGTACCGAAGCGTTCACGTGAGCTGAACGGTGCAGCAGCAGCAGCAGTCGCCACAACTGCCTCAGCAGCCAGCGGCGCGCCTCTGAATGTGGATGAAACCAGTGCCAATAATTTGCATACAAATCTAATACAACAGCAGCAGCAGCATCAACAACAGCAGCAACAGCAGCAGCCGCATGCGAGCAGCGTGCGCGTAAATACACCAAGTACACCACAAACGCCACAAATGTGTTCGATAGCCTCGTCGCCATCGGAGCTGGGCGGTTGCAATAGTAGTGCCAACAACAACAACAATAACAACAACAGCAGCAGCAGCAACAACAACAGCAGCAGTAATGCAACAGCTGTAGTGGTGGGCAGCCATCATCAGCAATTGGTTAACATGGGCAGCAGCAGTGATATGGCCATGACCCAGGTGGGCGTGGGCATGTGCCATCCCTCGATCGATCATCACGACGGCCTCGCCGGCACAGCCAACGAGCTGACTGTCTACGATGTGATCATGTGCGTCTCGCAGGCGCATCGACTCAACTGCTCCTACACCGAGGAGCTGACACGTGAACTGATGCGGCGACCCGTCACAGTGCCCCAGAACGGCGTAAGCATGCGAGATCTGGTAATCTGCAACAACAACCACAACTAATCGAACGTATGTATATACATTGCTTTACAGATTGTCACCACCGTGGCCGAGAGTCTGGAGTTCCAAAAGATTTGGCTGTGGCAACAGTTCTCGGCGCGCGTGACGCCTGGCGTGCAGCGCATTGTGGAGTTCGCTAAACGCGTACCTGGCTTCTGTGATTTCACCCAGGACGACCAACTGATACTCATCAAGCTGGGCTTCTTCGAGGTGTGGCTAACCCATGTCGCGCGCTTGATCAACGATACGACGCTGACGCTGGACGACGGCGCTTATCTGACACGACAGCAGCTCGAGATACTCTACGATGTGAGTGTGCAC